CTGAAGAAAGAGAAGGACGAAGTCCTTAAGGGAGCTGAGCTGGAGAAGAAGAAGGCTGATGAGCTGGAGAAGAGTGCTAAGCTGGAGAAGAAGAGGGCTGATGAGCTGGAGAAGAGGGCTGAGCTGGAGAAGAAGAGGGCTGATGAGCTGGAGAAGAGTGCTGAGCTGCTAGAGAAGAACATAAGAGATAAAGAAAATCAAATCTCTGTATATCAAAAAAGTGCGATTCAAAACTATGAGATTGCAGAAATAACAAGAAAAGAACTAGACCATACACAAAGAGAAAATGAAGAACAAAAACAAATAATATCAAACCAACAAGAAAGTATCGAAAATTTTTTATCCCAGAAGGAACTGAAGAAGAAGAAAACAATGACCCTAGTGATAAACACACAACCAATACTGAGAACATCATCATCTGGGACAATACAAATGAACCAAACTACCCCTATGAAAAAGACAATTCTGGAAATAGAAGAAGAAGGGAGCAAAACACTGAGTGTCAAAAAACAAGAAATGATAATCAGTCAAGAAGAGAAGAAAACACAACAAATCAAACAAATAGAATTTTAATTGATGTGTTGTATTGTTTTGCAATTAATTTATTAAATAAGAAATTAAATAAGAAATTAAGAAATGAACAAATAGAAAACATAATAAAAGTAATAAATAATAATGTAAATAATGATAAAGAATACATTAATAATATTAAAAAGTCACATAGAATAAAAGAAACAACTAAAAGATATATTAAAATGAAAGTGAACTCCATCATAGAAGGGAAAGTAGAGTGTAACCCAATAATAAAAAACATTATCATAAAAAATAACTCTACTGATATTGATGATGAATATCTTAACTCTATCATCACTCAAGTTAAAGAAATGAAAATAGATAAATGTGTAAATATTAATTACTACTGGAAAAGGAAAGAAGCAGATAAATTAATAAGAGAAATTAATAATAAATGGGTATGGTCAGGAGAATAGAAAATCTGCAAGAAGATATGAAAATGATTTCAATGTGTATGTATTATTATCTCTAAAATAAATTTATAGGAGATAAATTTGATGAAGTAAAAGAAATCCTAAGGAAAATAAATAGACTAGAAGATCTAGTCAAGGGAAGGAAATGGTACAGAATAAAATGCATCATGAGATTAAAGGAACAAGATGCAGATGAAATTAAAATGAAAGCACAAGAAAGAATAAAGTACCTAAAATATATGATGACGATGATTAAAGAAAGAATTAAATTTAATAAGAATGAAAGGGTCAGAATCAATACAAATAAAATCATGTTTGATTCTAATAAAAAAATCAAAATAAAGAAGAAAGACCCACAAAATGAAATATACCCAAATAACGATATTACTTTAGAATATTGGAAATCGTTATATGAAACACAGGTGATATTAAATAAGGAACATTGGAAAATAAATCAAATCACCTCGTGGAATGAAAGATACAGGAATTATGATAGTGTCATCATCACAATGGATGAACTAAATTTAAGCCTGATGAAAATAAGTAATTGGAAAGCACCAGGTATTGACACTATATATGGGTATTATTGGAAGAGAATGTCATCATCAAGAGAGTCCATTCTTAATATCTTCAATGAATGGTTAAACTTCCCAGAAAACATCCCTCTAGACATGGTAAGTGGAAGAACTATATTAATCCACAAATGAGGTGATAGGAACGATGTCATTAATTATCGTCCTATCAGTTGTACAAATGTAATTATGAAAGTATTTACCTCCATATTGAAAGAGAAGATTCACAATAGAATTAACATGAATAGTGAATCACTAAAAATTAGTAAAAATCAATTGGGATGTAAACTGCAATCTCTTGCTGCTAAAGAAGGATTAATTAATAGTTATATGTTAAAGCAGCAAAAAGAAGAGAAATACCCAAAATATGTAGAGTCATATTATGACATTAAGAAAGCATATGACTCAGTAAATCATGAATGGGTAATAGAAGCACTTAAATATTTTAATGTAGAGGGAGTCATCATAGACATTGTAGAAAGTATGATGAACAGATGGAAGATATTCATAGGATATAAATATAATGAATATCTAGGATGTATTAAACTGAAGAGAGGAATTTTACAAGGTGATTCATTATCCCCTCTACTCTTCATCATCCAAATGAATATAATTTCTCAAATCATAGAAGAGAAGTTCCCAAAAGCAAACCATACATTGTATATGGATGATTTGAGAATAATGACACAAAGTAGTGAAGAAATGGGAACAATCCACAATGAAATTAAAGAAATAATAAGTGGAATAGGGATGGAAATGAAAATAAATCAGGAATGGTATTAAAGAATATTAATAAAATACCAGATGGAATGCAAAACATCCCAATAATTGAAGGAGAGGACTTGTATAAATATTTAGGAGTATGGCAGTCCGATGAAATTAATGATACCTTCAATTGTAAAATCATCAAATAAAAGATGATGAAGAAAATGGATGAAATAAATACTGATGAATGTAGTAATAGAAGTTATATTACAAGAATTAATACTGAAGTAATACCAATCTTCAGATATTCAGCATCAGTAGTAAATTGGAAGGTAACTGACCTAGATAGAATGGATTTGGAGATAAGAAAATATTTAAGAAAGGCAAAATACATTGGTGCCGGTAACTCCAAAGACCGTCTATATGTCCCTATAAATGAAATGGGTGAAGGATTAATAAGCCTAAGGGACGAATATGTTATTGAATTAATCAGAACAGTAATGTACTATTGTACAAGAGAAAGTGAAATAGGAAATAACATAATAGATAGATGGTATTCCAAGAAAGGAATATGGAATAGAATTAAAAAAGCCCTAGGTCATAAAATCCCAGAAACGAAAATAGAAGAAATAATAAATGAAGGGATTGAAAATAAAAAAGAAAAAGAGGTAGTAGTAAAAATAAAGAAATTAATGACCGACCAATACATCAAAAAATGGAAGTCCCATCAAACAAGTGGACATTTTAGAAGATGGTTCGAGTCAAAAGGGGAAGATAAAACTACTACAATCAATGCATGGAAGTCCATCAATATAAAGAAAAATCCATTTCTCCAATTAACTAAAATGCAAGATGGAGCAATATTTAGTGGGTACAGGAAAGCGAAAATATTAAAAAATGAAAGACTAAAGTACTGCCCACTTTGTAAAGACAAGATAGCCACAGTAGAACACATTCTACTATCTTGTATTGGTCATAAGAAATCACAGATGGAGAAACATGACCATATTGGCATTATCATATGGGAGGGGTTAATAAGAAAATACACAGGAAATAAACAATACAAGAAACCCCCATATGAAACAGTGTTCCAATACAATGACATCACTATGATATGGAACAAACAAATAATGCCAAAAAGTGATGGACTATATCATAAAAGACCAGACATATATGTACTAGATAAAAAGAGTAAAACTGGTCTAATATTTGATATGACTATTGTGGCAGATCATAATATTAATGGAGCCTATTGGAAGAAAAGAAATATGTATAAGGAATTGAAAAATAGGGTAATGAAAATAGAGAAATTAAAAGATGTCAAAATAATTCCAGTAGTAATTTCGATTAATGGGCTAGTAAATGCCGAAAGTATTAAATTAATCAAACAATTAAAAATCGAAATTGACATCACTAAAGAAATTAAAAACCTTGTAATTAAAAACATGATGGACGTCATGGAGCACTGTGGAGATCACAACCAAACATATGTAGTTGAACTACAAGACGAAGACGAAGGGACGGGATTAGTCTCCCCTGAGCCAGGAACAATAGACACAAGTTCTATTAATACTTAATTAACTTCTTATTAGTTTATTTAATGTTTTAATTAATATTTATTATATGAAATATATTATTCTATTCTTCTTTTTATTTTTTATTATTTTATTTATTGTTTGTTTCTTGTTTTTGATATTTTTATTCTATTTCATTAATTTATTAATTATTCTTTCTCTTTTTTAATAGCTTGTTTATATATTTCATTATCTTTCAATTATTTATTTTTTAATATATTTTAAATAGTGATGTTAATATTTATTAATATCATCAATTGTTTGTTGAATATTTGAAATATTTTTACTTCTTCTTTATATAATGAGTAATCTTGTTTATTAACTCTTCAATTTTAATTTAATAAATATAATAATAAAATAAGAATCATAAATAATTAAATACATTTTTATAACAATTTTATTTATTATTTTATTTATTATTTTATTCATTAAATATTTTCTCTTTTCTTTTTCTTTTTAATTATTTTGATTATATATTAAAATTATTATTATTTATTATTATTTATTATTATTGTTATTTATCTATAATTATAATTATTTAATATTTATTATATTTTATTTTATTATTCATTTTTATTTTCTATTTTTTTATTTTTAATTTCTTTTTCAATTCTTATTTATTAATTTTATTGTAAAACATCATTCATTCTTTATTTATTCTTTTTTGTATCTTTCTTATTTATTGTTCTTTATTTTTTATACCTTTTGTTTACTTCTTTCTTTTCTTTATTATCTTTTTTTGTTCTTTACTTGATTTCTTTCTTTAACTTTCTCTATATTCATTTTATTTTATTTTGAATATACTTTTCTTCTAATTATTATTTTTCTTTATCTCTTATTTTGTTTTCTTTTATTTCTTTTTATTTTCTTTGTTAATGTTTTTTATTTCTTATTTGTGTTATCTATATTATCTTTCTGTTCACTCCATTTTATATTCTTATTCTTATTCTCTTTTAATCCCTTTTTCTATTCCTTTCTTATTATACATTTACTACTACCTCTTCATTATTCTATATTCCCTTGAATGGTAATGTCATGTTTTGTTTTCATTATAATACTTATGAATATTATCAAGAATGAATCAATAAAAATTGTTATCCCTTACAATGAAAAAATCTGAAATAAAAGAGAAAAAAAAGAAAAAAAAAGAAAAATAATAAAGAATGGAGGAAGTTACAATAGACAATGGAATGATAATTGAAGAAGAAGCTATTGAAGGACTTCACTTGTTTGGAGATAAAAAAGAAATGACACTATTTAAACATTTAAATAGAACACATACAAAGATAGGAGAAAAGATGATAAAAGAATGGATTAGACAACCATTAATAGATAAGGATAAGATAAATAAACGACTAGAATTAGTAGAAGGGTTTTATGAGAATTCAGAGATTCGATTAAAAATTAAAAATGAAGAATTAGCAATAATGGCAGATTTAGAGAAGTTAATAAAAGGGATAAATAAAAGTGATTTAGAAAGTATTGTCAAATTATATGAAGCAGTAAGAATTGGTAAAAGTATCAAAGAAGAATTAAAAGAAATGAATAACAAAGAGAAAAAGAAATAATAGAAGCATTAGAAAGAATTTCAGAAGAAATGGAAAAATTTGAAGAAATGGTAGTAACACTTATTGACATTGAAGAAACAAAAAATCATGTATTTAAAATAAGACTTTGATGAAGGACTTCAAAAAATAAGAGAAAAACATAAAAAAGTAGAAGAAGTTTTTGAAAAATGATTAGAACAAGCAGCAAATGATCTTAATATTAAAACAGATAAAATTAAAATAATTGAATATAATAATAATTTAATATTAAGAGTATCTAAAAGTAATGAAAAAGAAGTTAAAAAGAATAAAAAGTATACTGTTATTCAAACACTTAAAGGAGAATGTAAATTTACATTTAAAGAAATGCAAACACTTAATGTTAAAAGAGATAAAGTTAATTTAAAAGAAGAAGAAATTAATAAAAAATTTATAGAAGAAATTAATAAAGTAATTGAAGGATATAAAGAAGCATTTAAAGAATTAGAAAATATTATTGGATGTATTGATTGTATTCAATCATTTGCTACAGTTTCTAATGATAATAATCAAGGATATGCTAAACCAAGAATATATGAAAGTGAAAAAGGAATTATTAAAATTAAAAAAGCAAGACATCCATTAATTGAAAATAATAGTATAAATACATTTATTGAAAATGATATTGATATTAATAGAAAAGAAACAAGATTTCAAAATATTACAGGACCAAATATGGGAGGAAAATCAACATATTTAAGAATGATTGGATTATGTGTTATTATGGCACAAATTGGAATGTTTATTCCATGATCTTGAAATGAAATATAAAAGAATATACAAAATTAGATAATAGATATAATACAAATAAAATAAGAAAGAAGATATTAAATGTATAGAAATATTCATAATTGAGATTGATTTTATAAAGAAGTATCAAAATTCACATTGATTATATTGAATTGATAAATAAATATGAAATAATTTCATATCAGTAAGATGTATAATTCTTAATACATTAATTGGTGTATATAGAATAAAAAGTGATGATGATTGACTATAAAAATGATAGAAAATATTAAAATGAAAATAAATCATATGATTTATATAATAAAATAAGAAATAACAATAAATATTTAAAATAGAAATAAATAATGAATAAAATAGAAATAAATGATAAAGAAATAAATAAAAAGAAGTTATAGAAAATAGTATATTATGAAATAGAAGAAGAATAAATAATCACAAATAATTTCAATAATTTTATATAAAATAAAGAGAATGAAGAAAAGGTAAATCAAAAATATTGAAATAATGTATATTAAATAATAAAATATACAAATATTATGTAATGATATAAGAAAATTGAATTAATACACATTATAAATTATTAATT